GCCCCTTTAAGAAATGCTTTTGAGGCTTTTCGCCCTAACAGGCTGCCGGCGGCCGTCCGCCATCTTGTCTCCCTGCTCCGGGCTGGACAGCTCCCCTGCGGAACCCGATAAGCACCCGGGATTTTCGCCTCCTGGCTGGGAAAAAATCAGAAAATACCGGACATTTTAGGTGTCCGGGTCAATACCGGACACCTGGCAACCCTAGCTTTCTATAACTCTGAGCAGCTCTCTGTCCTAAGCATATCTCCCTTTGCAATAGCCCTCTGCAGAAGGGAGGGGAAGACAAATGCACAGACAGGTTTAGGCGAGGTCTACACTGCACTCAGACATGCGACTCCAGTAGACATACGCATGTGAGCTTTAATCCAGCCAGCATAGCTAAAAATAGCAAGGAAGACTCAACAGCACGAGCTTGCAGTGCAAGTACATATCCACTTGCACAGCCTGCATGGAAGTGCATGCTGCCATACTGAATGCTATTTTAAGCCTTACTACCAAAGTGACAATCACACCTCTGACTGCAGTGTAGACATAAACTGAAGCTGCTCACCCAAGGTCACATCTGAAGTCAGTGGTGAAGCAGGGATTTGAGCCAAGTCTACCAAGCCCTAGGCTAGGACCTTGCCCTCTGACCCATCCCTTCCTCCCTTCAGCTGCACTGACCTTCGATTATGAGGAGTTTCTCTTTCTTCAGGGTCCATAAGCAAAGGTGGAGGAAGAAGGTCATCAGGATGAGAATGAATATGCCCAGTGCAGCCAGTATTGCCAGGATGGTGGTGTACTTGGGATCTGAGGAGGAGGGGGAGTGAAATGAAATACATGACCACAGATAACAGTGAAACCACAGCTTCCAAGGAAATGAAAGAGAGGTGCTTAAGTCAGACAGGGAACCACGAAACTGGCAAAGCCATTAAGCAGGGAAAACCACAGAACAGGTTATTAAGCACAGAACTGGCCAGTGATCATGTGTGCAGGAGATCATTGTTTATGGATAGCATGATGATCGCTACCTTGCTTAAACATGGATAGCATGCATGATTCCTACATTGCTTAAACACGGATAGCATGCATGATCTCTGCATTCTTTAAACACGAATAGCATGCATGATCGCTACATTGCTTAACCACAAGGCATCCATCTCTTTCCATAACGATGACCTAGTATGTCTACAGCACTTCCGCCTCATCCATTTACCTTTGACTTCAATAGGTGCAAGTCAAAGCCCGCCCAAGGTTTCCCTGAAGGAAGACAACATACAATGGATCAAACATTCACCCCAGTTGCAGCTCTAGTGAAGTCAACGAGGTAATCTGGTCCAATATAATGAAAGATATCTGCAGTCGAGAGGCTGGGTGCCAGAGTTCCCTCAGCTCCAATGACCTATGACAGTTGAGGATTCTGAGTACCTCACCAGAGATGCCTGGTACCTGTCAGGATGAGGCCCACTATTTTTTTCTATCTGGAACTTGAATTTCCAGGTTCTGCTGCTCATTCACATCTCGGTGAGTGGGGCCCACAAGGGGCACGTGGTGGGGAGCCAGAGACAGAAGGAAGTTTAAACGTGGGTGACTAACTGCTAAATTGTGTCTCTTGAGAAAGCCCAATTAAAGAGCAGCAGATGCCGGATGGAAAACTCTGCGCAGCTGTTTGCTAAGGAACCATTCTCTTACCACCCCTGCATTTCTCCTCCTGGCCCTTTGAGGGTTGTTATCAATAATGTTCCCTTGATGTTCAAATCTGCCCTGCTCAGCAAGTTGTGCTGCTTCAGAAATACTGCAGAAAATTCAAGGGTTATTTCCACGCCAAGAAACCATGATGGCACAAACCCAGGATCATGCTTTTGTCTGAGGGTCACAGTCAGTGTTCCCTCTAAACCACAAGGCAGCAAAGCCCTGCAGCTGCTTAAACCCTGAGCCCCTGACTGGGTGGAGCTGATTAAGCAGATGTGGGGCAGTGCTATCATGCAGTTTAGGAACACTGAGGAAACATTGGTCACGTTCTTAAATGCCTCGAGGAAAGGAAGTGTTTGAAGTAAACGGTCCATCACCCAGGATATACCTTGCTCCCCAGGTAGGGGCACATCTCTGGAAATTCCACATTCTACATTATGGGTAAAATTTCCTGGTATGATTGTTCGTAATCCAGAATTCTCACATCTAAGAAAAAGAGAAAGCATTGTTCAGAACAACTCTACCTGTTTTTGCCGCCCTCCGCCCACTTCCTCCTTCTCTCCCCATCCCCCATCTCTCTTTCCTTTACTTTTTTATTTGCTTAGTTTACAGCTGGCCAAAGTACACCTGCCCCCATCGGATACACTGGACAGGTTCTGCTGAGAAGTTAATTGATCTTTAATCCCACCCAGGCCGACTTTCAAACCATATCCACACTTGCGTAAGTTTGTGGCTTTGACCTGAAAGGAGGTGAAACACAGAGGTTTTTTGTCTTCATTGAGTTTCACTTTAAGATTGGTTAGGTATAAAACCAAAGAAAAGATTTATGTGGTAACCTGCCAAGGAAAAACTCCTGTAATCCTAACACAGCAGACTCTTAGATAATTCATTACGGTGGCTTTCAATTTTTAGAAAAATTAAAAATTAGCCACATGGAGTATGTACCATGAATGCCCCAAAAAAGAGATCTATCCATAAATACATACTTAGTCCAAGGCTTGCAACAGCTGTTCACAGTGTCAGAATAAGTTCCTTTTTTACATGGTTCACAGGTGAATTTGAAGTGATCAGTGCCTAGGAGACAAAAGAAAGAAGGTTACTTCTGGGGAGCCTAGGATGACAAATAGGGTCTATCTTCAAGAATTTGAGCATAAACATGGAGAATGAAGAGGAGAGCTAATAACTGATGACATCAAGAAAGTTGAGGAGTTTAATGGAGACCAAATATTCAACACAATTAATATTAACAAGAGGGAAGGAACAGAAGCCAAAAAAGGAAAGACCTAAATTAAATGTATTTAGCTGGCAGGGGCTGATGAAACTCATTCTAGGGTATATAAACAACTATCTGAAGCAATCCTCAGAGCCATTAGCAGTTATCTTTCAAAACTCATGGAAGAAAGGTGAGGTGCCAGAAGACTAGAAAAGGGCAAACGCAGAACCTGTCTTTAAATAAGGAAACAAAGCTACCTAGGAAATTATAGACAGGCCTTCTTAACTTCAGTACCTGGAAAGGTACTGGAAAGAATAAATAAGCAGCCAGTTTGTAAGCACCTGGAAAATAGAAAGGTTATAAGGAAGGACCAGAATAGATTTGTCAAGAATAAATCATGACTAATCAATTCATTTTCTTCTTTGACCAGACCTAGTGCACAGGTGGGAAGCAGTAGACATGATATATCTTGATTGTAGTAAAGCACACTGTTGTTTTGACACAGTCCCACATAATATGCTCACAAGCAAACCTGTGAAATGTGGTTTAGATGAAATGACTATAAAGCATCTACACAACTGGTTGAAGGACCATACTGAAAGAGAAGTTATCAGTGGCTCACTGCCAGATTGGAAAGGTGTTCTACAGAGATCCAGAGATTTATTCAATATTTTCATTAATAGCTCAGATAATGGAGTGGAGAGTATGCTTATAAAGAATGCAGATGACACCAAACTAGGAGAGGCTGCAAATACTTTGGAGGCCACGATAAGAATTCAAAATGACCATGACAAATTAAGAGAACTGACCTAAAATCAACAAGATTAAATTCAGTGAAGACAAGGGGAATGTATTTCATTTAGGAAAGAAAAATAAAACGTGCAACTACAAAATGGGGAACAATTTGACTAGGTATTAGCTCTGCTGAAAAGGAACTGGGGATTATACGGGGTCACAAATTGAATATGAGCCAACCACGTAATGCAGATGTGAAAAGAGGCAGTATTCTGGGGTCACAAGGTATATTAACCAGATGGTATGTCAGACATCCAAAATAATTGTCTCATTATACTCAACCCTCTATTTGTTCAGACCTCAGTTGGCATGCCCTGTCCACTTGTGAGTGCCACATGTTTGGAAGGATGTGAACAAACTGGTCAGAGTCCAGAGGAGAGCAACAGAGATGAGAAAAGGGTGAGAAAATTGGATCTATGAGGAAAAGTTAACAAAATGAGGCAAGTCTAGAGAAATGAGAACTGAGGGGGGCCTGAAAGCAATCTCTCAATATCTCATGAATATCTCAACACTTGTTCTCCATGTCCAATGAAAGCTGGACAAGAAGTAATGGGCTTAATCTGCAGCAAGGGAGATTTCAATTAGATATCAGGACACCTTTACAAATTCTGAAGGTAGGAAAATGCTCGGACTAGCCTTCCAAGGGTGTTTTAAGGAATCTCCATAACTGGAGATTTGTGATCATTGATTGGACCAACACCTGTCAGGCAGGGCCATCCTTAGAATGCACGGGGCCCTATGCATTCCCCCATAAGCCTTTCTATGTGACTTGCTTTTGCTCCACTCATCTGAAGAAGTGGGTTGTGCCCACAAAAGCTCTTGATAAAAGCTCTGTCTCCAGAGCCATTTAAATAATCACCGCTTCATTTAAATTAAAATGGCTGCTGCGCTGTGCCGCGCTGTTTGGCAGCACAGCGCTGTAGTCTGAACGCTCCGCGGTCGACATCAAAGGCATTTGTCAACCTCCCCGTTATGCCTCATGGGATGAGATTTACCAGGGAGGTCGACAAATGCCTTTGATGTCGACTACGGAGCATCCAGACTACAGTGCTGAGCCGCCAAACAGCTGATCGGCTCAGCGCGGCAGCCATTTTAATTTAAATGAAGCAGCAATTATTTAAATCACCACTTCATTTGGGTATGTCTAATAAACTAATCTACATGGCTCTGGCGACAGAGCCATGTAGTCTAGACATACCCTAAGGTGCTACAGGACCACTCATTTCCCTGAAGAGGGAGGTTCCCTTAGATTGGAGATTGGTCCCCTACGAGGAGGTGGCAGGAGCATTCTTGTCTGGGATGCCACAGAGAGAAAATGAAATAACGTTTGGTTCGGGTCAAACAAAATGTTTTGTTTCCATCATTTCAAAATGTCCCATTTTGATTTTGACCTTGCCCTCCACCCTTTTTTTAGTCTAAATCAGGGGTGGGAACTGGCCTACTGGTTCATTTCATGTGGCAGGTGGCAAGACTCCACACTGTGGGCCAGAAGCCCCAAGCCTTGGGACCCCCGGCAGGGCCAGAGCCATGAACACCGGCTCAGTGGCATGTCCCTGCATCCCCTTGTCAGAGGAGCAATCAGGGATGCTCTGTGTACTGTCCCCACCCGCAGCAACAGCTCCATAGCTCCCATTGGCCAGGAACTGTGGCCAAAGAGAGCTGCAGGGGCGGCATTTGAGGGCATGGTAGCACGTACTGCACAGAGCTGCCTGTCTCTCCCAGATAAGGAATGGACATCGCAGCTGCTTTGGGAAGCAGCGTGGAACCAAGGTGGGCAGGCAGGAACTCCACCTTACTTCTACTGCGCCACTGACTGGGAGCTGTCTGAGGTAAGCACTGCTCGACTGGAGCTCGCACCCCAACTTCCATGCCCCAGGTTGGAACCCTCTCCCACTCCCTAGCAGACCTCACCCCCACCAACCCTGAGCCCCCTCCTGCACCCAAGCTGCCTCCCAGAGCCTGCACCCTGAACCTCTCCCTATACTCCAGCCCCCTATCTCATTCCTGGCCCCACCCCACAGCCCGCAACTCCAGCCAGAGCCCTTACCTCCTCTCACACCTCAACTCCCTACCCCAGCCTGGAGCCCCACTCCACACTCTGAACTTCTCATTTCTGGACCCACCCCTAGAGCCAAAGAGAAGCCCCAAGATTTCTGACTCATGGGGCTCTGTGTGGGCCCTGACTGATTTTTTTCTGTGGATCAGCGGCCCTGTTAGAAAAATGGTTTCTCACCTCTGGTCTAAACATTCTAAAATTTCAAAACAAAAGGTCCTTTTGTCTCAAGAAATCAAACAGGGCATTTTGAAAACGTCACAATGAAACCAATGGGCCTCTTCCAATTGAATTTAATGGGTTTTGAATCAGCCCGATCCTTAAAAATCCACCTCTTGGTTTGGGCCCCACTGTAATATCTGAGCACACCTTCCACATGTATGGAGCTATCACCTTGAGTCACCCTACAAGGTAGGGAAGTCTCAGGGTATGTCTACACTACCCTGCTATTTTGAAATAGGAGGGTAATGTAGGCATACCGCAATTGCAAATGAAGCCCGGGATTTGAATTTCCCGGGCTTCATTTGCATAAGCGGGCGCCGCCATTTTTAAATCCCCACTCGTTCGAACCCTGTGCCACGCGGCTACACACGGCACGAACTAGGTAGTTCGAACTAGGCTTCCTAGTTCGAACTACCGTTACTCCTCGTGGAGTTCGAACGAGCACGGGGTTCGAACGGCACGGGGTTCAAAAATGGCGGCGCCCTGCTTATGCAAATGAAGCCCGGGAAATTCAAATCCCGGGCTTCATTTGCAACTCCGGTATGCCTACATTACCCCGCTAGTTCGAACTAGCGGAGTAGTGTAAACATACCCTCATTCTCTCTCTTTGATACATAAGAAACAAGGCAGTGAGAGATTAGTCTTTCCCGCCAAAGTCTCACAAGAAGCCTGCATGTTGCTGGGCTGCAGCATGAGTCCACATCTTCTAGGCCCCAGCCGCAACTCCGCCCTTCCTCCTCAGTGCTAAAAAACAATGTCAAACTGGGATTCGTTGGTAAATTAAAACGTGCTATTCCAACCGCTTTTCCTCTAGACTGGTTCTTTTAGTTCCCTTTTCATTTCCCCTTTGTTGGGTGCTCACTGTTATACTCCTGAGTGGTGCAAAGTATTTGCAATCAGATGAGAAACCTAGTACTTCATGAAAGCGGCTCAGTGTCATGAACTCTCCCCTCCCCTCCCCTGTGAGCCATTTTGGTTTACACTCAGAAAGTGCCGAGGAGTCCTGTGGCACCTTATAGACTAACTGAAGTGTAGGAACATAAGCTTTCGTGGGCAAAGACCCACTTCGTCACATGCATGCATCTGACGAAGTGGGTCTTTGCCCACGAAAGCTTATGTTCCTACACTTCAGTTAGTCTATAAGGTGCCACAGGACTCCTCGGCACTTTCTGAGTGTAAACCAAAATAAGTGGACTCTTGGAGTAAAATCTGGCCTAATTTTCACTCTGTCCATCAATCATTTTTATATCACACTCCTCAGCAGGGGATCCGACAGACCTACCAGGCCCCGGGGCAAGTTGCAGGAGCTGGGGGGAGCAGGGGGGAAGACTCTGCGCTTCTGAAGAGGTGGAGCCTCAGGCAGAAGGGGTGGGGCCAGGGCAGCCAGCCCTCAGCGCTGTCCAGAGGGCACTGGAGCATGGCGTGTGGCACTCTGGCAGCGATTTAAAGGGCTCCTTTGAATGACTGGGCCATGGGCAGTTGCTCCCCTCCCACTGTACTTCCTGAATGCCCCCAAATGGTCTCATTATCGAGTAAAATACTAGACACACATTTTGCAGTGCAACGTGAAGAATTTTGACATTTTGCCTGTTTGGAGTAAGCATTTCACAACTCCCTTCCTCCCCTGCCACCGCCAGTGTTTTAAAGCTGCAAAATAGCTCAGAAAGAGCTAATGAATGGGCTTTCCTCCCCCAAGATATGAACAATTCTTTTCATGAACTTGAGCCACTTCCAAGCAGATGCTTGGCCTGCTACCCCATGTCCCCCCCTTACCACCACAAGGCTTTCAGAATGCGCCCATGTAGCAGATGTATATGCAGTGGCCACTAACTCCCTCCCCTCTCCACCTTTACAGCACTCAACTTGGCGGGTCTGTTTGTGTTCCAAAAGTTACCTGATTTGTTCAGCTCCATCCCGGCCTTGCACTGCGGCAGTGGAGTGCAGATTGTACACGGAAGATTACCACACAGCTCCCCAGGTTTACAATTCCCGGTCAGCTTCAGGATGTTGGGGCATAGATCCGAAAGGCCACATGTCACTAAAAGCAAAGGGTGAGATTTGCCTGGAATGACGGAGACCAAAAACTGGTGCATGTTATTTAACCATGAGTGTTACTGGATGATTCTGGAGAATCTCCTTCTAGGCAGGAGGGTGACTCTGGGAAAGCTATAAAGGCACAGAGCCAAATATGCTCTCAGCAACACTGGGTGAAATCCAGGAGGACTCTCTTTCAGTCAGAGGGGTGACACTGAGGTAAAATGTGGAGGATCTGAGCCACTGTGACTCCTCCAGCATATTGGGGTGCCTGGAACCAAGTGTATTGTCCGGACAGGTAAACGCATGTGCAGCCTGTGGGCCAGAAGTCTGTGATTGTCCCCACATTTAATGGGAAAATGCTGCCAATGAGGCCTGTAGGTCTCAGCACACAATGTTTCATACGAAACATGCAGACAGTTGCAATCCACCAGTACTCAGGGCAAATGTCAGGCCTTGGTACTCTGAGGTAATGGGCGCTGAACAACCCCAGCTCCCACAAGGAGCGCCACCCAGGAACAGACCCTCCCTTTAGCCCTCGGGCTTCCAGTCAGGTGGCAATGCATGGCACTGCGAGGCAAAGCCCCCGCGTCTGAGGGCTGCTCACAGGATTCCAGGCCACCAGGGCCCGGTTCTCATTCTCTCCCTTGCATTCAGACACTTGCTCCCAAAATATATTGAGAGAGAAAGAGCTGGCTCCAAATCAAAACCATGGAGCCAACCCCTCCCCCTTTCCGAATCTGGAGAAGCCCAGCTCCAATCCCAGAGCTGAACTCAGCCCACGTCTATTTCTGACATACTCTTTAAAAAAAAAAAAAAAACAGAACAGAACAGAACAGAAAAGCAACACCGGAGGTCGTGAACATGAAGCCCTGACCACATGAGTCAGGGCCAGAGCTTGTGATACCAGCTCCTGGGGGGCTGTTTAGAGGAAAGAGAGCGGTGTGGTCACCTAGCACTTGGATGATATTGAGAGCGATACAGGGAAAGTACAGGTTAGTGCAGTAGGACGTCAAATGAAAAAGTGTGTGGCAGTGGTCAACCCAGAGCAATTTCCTGAGCTGATGCTGGTATGTACCAGGGGGCTGGGCCTTTCCCCTGGGCCTTTCACCAGTCTACCTGTCACACATTGGCCCCTTGTATTTTTTTCCATTCTGGGATGGTTTGGAGACAGAGTAATGGAATGACTTTGGCAATTAAAGGAAGCAGACAGCAGGAGACAAGAGAGATTATAATTCTTTGCTCCGTGCATTAAAAGCCTGTGAATGACAGGCTAATAATGAGCCAGTCCTGATGACCCTCCATTGGTAGCCAAGTCCAGTTACTCAGTCGAGGAGAAAGGCCTGAGGGTTTGCTGAGCTGCCATTGGCTGACCTGAGATTGCCCTCCTCTTTCTTCTGGAGGTTCATTTTGGTGAACGGTGCTGGAGTGGCACAGCCCTGGGAATCCGAAACCCTCTGTGCACACAGCATCAACAGCAGCAGTGAAGCCATCTCCTCCCACGCTGCCCCACTGGTGTGCTGGCTGGTAGCTGAAGGGGAATTTCATCCCCATGGTCCTTTCACTCTGTGGCCTTTTTGTTGAGACAGCCAGCTGAAAGACATGGTTTGGCTGAGGGGGATGTGTGAGACTGGAAAAATGGGCCGAGATGCACCTACACAAAAGGCTACTGAGCTCACTTGAGTTCCAATGACCGTTCGCCTCTGCTGGGGTTTAAACTGATGAATTTGGAGGGGCAGACTCCATAGCCCTTCACCAACTACAATTCATGCCCCCAGATGACTGAATTTTGTCCCCTAGCACTAAAAAGCCTCTTTAAGTGTAGGCTGGGAGGAGACAGGCAGGGTGAGAGCATCACTCCTTTACACTTGTCTGGAATCTGAGGTCACCTTCACAGACTGCAACAAAACCCTCATCTAGGCAGCAAAACTGCCTGCGGAAAAACTGGAGCATCACACCTACATGAAGTTGCCATTTCTGTATGAGAACAACATTGGCTGTTACACTCTCCAGGGTAAAATTTACTTTGGCTCCCAGTCCCCTTGCTGCCAAGCATCAGCTCCTGGGGAGTCCAACACTGGCCACTGTTAAGGACATGAGACCAGATGAGAAGTACCTTATGAAAACTTGTCAGACCTGGGTCGTCGGCAGGTGGGATTGAAGCTGAGACCTTAGGGGCTAAAGCCATGAGCCTCTACAGCATGAGCTAAAAGCCAGCTGGCTCTTTGCTAGGGCTGTAGAGAGCAAACTTTGCTCTCCCTTCTCAGTGGTCTTAGTGCCACTTAGTGGGTTACACTTAGATCTATGCTGGTGGGGCAGTTTATAGATACTAAAGCTAGAAGGGACCATTAGGAGCATCTGCTCTGACCTCCTGCATAAACCAAGCCCAAGAACGTCACCCTGTAATTCCTGCATCCCACCCATACCTGCTGAATGAGCTACTCCAGAACTTTTAGAAAGACATCTCCGTCTTGACTTCAGTGATGGAGAATCCACCACGCCCTAGTTACCTTCTTCCATGAACATCCTAAGACCTGCGCACCGTTTGCAATGATCCCCAGCCTCCAGGCCTGGGTTCCTATTATCTCGCACCTTTGGTTGTCATTTAGTCCTGTGCGAAGCAGGGATTTTGTGGCATTTAATGGCCACTTGGCAAAGGTGTGACTGGCAACACCATGGCAAGGCTGGGGGAGAAGCCAGCACTCCCACTTTTGGTCCCACAGATGGGAGCATATCTAGCCCAAATGCAGAGGCTGCTACCACCCTGAGGGGCAGCTTCCCCAAGGCAGCAGGTTTCCTTTCCATTGCGATCCTAAGGAGAGCTGGGCGAGGCCCAACATGCTAGAAACAAACCATGATTCAGCTTGGGGAGGGTTCCGCCTGCAACGTCAGATTGGGATTTTGCAGCTTGCTCCTGTGCCTCCAAAAAGGCAATTCCAAATCCCATAGCTCCCCACCGGCAACCTTTGAGTTAAGGCAGGTTCAAAAACTAGAAGCTACATTTAGTCTGAATTTTGCCATTCAAGCCCCTGTCTGATAATGAGAAGGAGGAAATCCTCTGTTGCTATTTTCCTTTGAATACACTGCTGCTCCTGTCACTCTGTAATTTGCCTCCCCCGTGCTCATTGATTCTGTGGTCAACATGCAATATGGGGACAAGACAGAAGACACTTGCCCTCCTCTCTTACCTGAGCTGCTCTGGAGACAGTTTTTAACCGGGTCCTGGATCGCCAAAGCCAGCTCCACCCGCAACCACAGGTTCATCAACAAAATCAAGCTGATGCCCTGACTGGAGAGATGAAGTCTTCTTTGCCTGGTCATGTCTCAAGCTGGTTTCCCTGTGGGTGGCTGCCACTCAGGCACTGCGGCTGGGTTTACTTTAACACTGCCCCAGCCAAGTGTCTTCCGTCTCTCTGATGCATTCTACTCTGGTAGAGCACTTTTTGTAGCAAGTGGCTACCGCACACACGTGGTTTTCTTCCTGTACGCAGTTTCTGTTTCAAAGAGGGGCGGGGGGGTGGGGGGGGGAAGAGCAGGGCTTCTTTATTTTAACACAATACAAACTAGCTGGAATTCCAACCGCAGACTGAGTTAAGGGGCCACTCACAAAGGACATCAGTAAGGATGGAGCATCCTGAAATAAGCAATGCAGACTTGGATTTTCAAAGGGTCTTGTCTACACTTGCAAGGTAATTTGGATTTTAAAAAGGGGTTGAATGTGGAGTTATTCTGGAATCCTTCCTTGTGTAGACAATGCTGGGGAGTCCAGGTTTTCAGCCTCCACTGCATTTAGTTGTTGAAGTTTTGGGGATCATTAGGACCAATAAGATGTACTTTCACCACCTACCTGGGAACTTTGGATGGATGTGTAAGCGGGGGAATGATCCCGCTATTGTGGGGAACTTTCCTGGCTTCTATACACCCCGGTGAAATGAACCAGCGAAAGGATCTGAGTCCCCGCTCCCACTTCCTCTACCCCATGGCTCCCTGATCCCGAGGGCTCCCCCTCCACTCTCCGGAGTAGCAGAGCCCTTGAAACCCCAACAAGGCTGGGCCCAGGTTTCCTGGGGCTTAATCCCTGACCTTGTAGTCACTAGGGGCAGGAGTTAGGGTGTCCCCACTCCGAGGTGCTCTCTCTACACTGCAGGCCTTCTTGGCCCAGTGATCACTTCATAAGGTTCAAAGCAAATACAATTTATTAAACAACAACTGATTAAAGAGAAAAGAATAAGAAAAAGTGAGAATGGTTAAATGAGAACACACAGCCCTACTCTGTAGCACAGGGACATCAAAACAGCAGTCTGCAGAGTGTAAGG